CCACAAAGTTGTATCAGTGTAACTATTCTTCTCCCGTTACAGTAGTACAACCATGTCCCTTCACGGTCACAGTCAAACTACCACAGATGTGCTATATACGTATGCAGCTTCTCTGGTATGGGAAGTGTGGTAATACCAGGACAAAGCACCTTAATAACAGTACGGCTGTGTCAATGATAGAGTAATGGTGTAACTTAGGGTTTAAAAAAATAATCATTCACAAGTAAAACTTGCAGCCTTAGCTGTGAAAAGCACTACATATGCCTGGGAGCATCTGATATTTTAGTAGTGTAAGTGGGGCTTGCATATGCTTTATATAGTGACTGTGCCATCAAGGTACCAAATGTCCTGACTCTATCAGACGTTTGGATTCTGTCTCAGTGGTCTAAAGTGGGAATGGAAGGCCTGGGCAGTCTCCTCCTTCATACTCCTGCCCATGTATCGAAGGTCCTGGTGCCTCTCATGCATACACCATGATCCAGAAGGATCTGTGGTTGCCTGCTAATGAGTTCTCAGCACTAACTAGTGCATAGTAGTGAAAGGGTGATAATACAGATGTACAAGCTTATAGGAGAAAACTGTATGCTGAATTTGAGATGCAGAGAACTTCATGTATATGAGGGGGAGAAGAGATTACACTGGTGGCCTTAATTCTATCGTCTTCAGATTCTTCAGCATTTAAACATGCTGCCCTTCTATTCCCTTAAAGTAGGCCTTAGTGAAACTTTCTAGGTGATCTCTTCAGGGGAGAGGTTTGGAAATAAAAACTGAAGATTATAGCACTCTGTGTATAACATATTCTGTTTGGGTAGATGTTGCCAAAATGCCTTGCCTCAACTATTATACAAGGTACCAAAGAGAGAGCCCCTGTCTCTGACTATTGTTAATAGTGCCCAGGAGAGGAAGCTCATCTCCTTACTGTGGAAGTGCCAAAGAATGCAAGAGCGTGGCTTCCCTCCTGAGCTCTTTAGCAGGTTAGCTGTCGTGGAAACTCCTGGCTGTTGGGGAGAGGCCCGCTAATGTTCACAAGGCACTACTGAGCCTTTTCCTCTTGTCTGTGCACAGCTTTGAAAGTTATATAGCCAACTTAACCATGCACGTACTCCTAAGCCATACTTCATGAACTTAGCTTATGGGGGAAACTGTTGTCTCTACATAGTATGCAATTTTGAAATGGTTCTAACTCACTCCAATCAAAACCTGGTTTCCCTAGTGCAGTCCAGCTTATTTTTTTCCTAAATGACAACTATTACCGTGTCAGATTGCAGTGTCTGCCCACAGGCATTTCATTTACAAGGACTTTAAGTCACTCTCCTTGATTTCAAAAGTTGCTGAATCTTTTTCTCACATTTTGAAAAGAGGAGGGAAAACAAAAAGTTCTCATTTGCAGCCAGAGACAAAGCATGGAAATTTCTGGTTGAAGGTTTAGGTTGGAGGAAGCATAGTAGCTCCAACCAAAAGCTGATAGAATGAGTGTGGTGCAACAGAAAAATGGAGTTTCAAGTCTCTTCTCCTTAGCTTAGGCAATCTTTTGTGGTTGTGGGCTGGAGTGACACAGCTTGGGTCAGAGGTGTGTGATTGGGTGGGTGCTAGGACCCAACCCTGTTTCTTCCGGTAGCAACACGGGACTAGCTGCCACTGCTGCTTTTCTCCACCATGGCTTGAGGAGAGCTTCTGTCACTGAAGCCCCACACCTGGGCCAGATCAAATGGCTCTGCAGACCAGATCTGGCTCTGTAGGCCATAGATTGCTGATCAATGGCCTGCTTCACCAAATGCATACTTCGTCAGCCTGTATATCACTTCAGCATGCCAGTAAAGCAGGGGCAGGGAATTATTTTGGCTGGAGGGTGGCTTAATGAATTTTGGTGAGCTGTTGAGGGCCACATGGGTAGCTCCGCCCCTTGATAGGTGTCCCATCCCTTAGTCACTATCTTAGCACCAGGAGTCCTGCCCTCTAACTTCTGACTTTTGCCACCAGAAGTCCCTCCCCTTCCCCCTGGAAGTACTCCTTTCAGCAAGGGGGTTGCCATTTTGGAACCAGAAAAAACCAAATTATATTCTGAAAATCAAACATCTACTACAATATACATTAATTTGACTTCAAAAAATATTTCTGTCCTGATTTACATGTGCTTGCATAGTGTACATAGAGGTGACTGCATAATAGCTTAAAATGAATTCCTACATTTGTATATTGTGTGTGGGGAGGTGTGGGTGGTTTGGGTACAGGGTTTGTGGGAGGGGTATGCAGGGTGTGGGGAAGGGTGTGGAGGGGTGGATAGGCGGGGGATAGGGATGCAGTTTGGAGGCGTGGATAGGTGTGGTGGGGTGTGTGTGTGTGTGTGTGTGTGTGTGTGTGTGTGGAGCATGTAGGTGTGTGTGTAGTCTTATTTTTACTCACCAGCCTGTGCAGGGCTTAGCTCACTTGCACTAGCCCCAGCTTCTCAGTGTCAGCCTGTCTTCTCTGGTCATACCTGGCTCAACCTGCTCTGCCCTCTGTCTCAGCCTACCCCTGTCTCCCTCATGAGGTAAGAGGGCTGGCCTTTTAAGCTGTAGCCCTGGCCCTGGGGCACCCACCTGCCACTCCACCCCTCCTCCCACTGCTTCGGTGACTTGCTGTTCCCAGCTGGCTCCTGCTGTGCCGTGAGGTCCTGGCTGTGCAGTTGGGAACCACATGGTGCCGGAGTGGGCTGGACCAGCTCCTGCTGTGCCGTGAGGTCCTGGCTGTGCAGTTGGGAACCGCATGGTGCCGGAGTGGGCTGGACCAGCTCCTGCTGTGCCGGGAGGGAGAGGCAGGAAATCAGCCCAGCTCCATAGAGACCCTGCCAGCCTAGGCTTCATGCTTCTGCTGCCCCTCCCTGGGGTTGGCCCTGCACTCCAGGCCACCCACTCACTGTTATTCCCCAGCCCCACTCCTGCCTGCCGCTGCTGCCACCGCCATTTCCTCACCTTCCTGCCGCTTCTCCCCTCCTCCCTGGCACTGTTCAACTTTGCAGTGTCTGGTGGAGGGAGGTGGGAAACAGCCACAGGGGGTATCCAGGCCAAAAGTTGGGGTTGGGGAGGTGGGACTGGTGGAGCCGGTCGAGCCTTGCTGCGGCTTCCACTGGGTCCTGCCATGGGCTTCTCCTGGGTCCTGCTAGCACCTAGTCAGTTTAGATAGGCAGCCAGGGACAAATAATAATTTTACAAATTTTTAGGGGCTCTGCAGGCCAGATAGAATGGCCTTGTTGGCTGAATCCAGCCTGTGGGCCGTATTTTGCCCACCCCTGGAATAAAGGTATCACTTCAGGTCCCCAATTAGGTCTGCATATCGCATCATATGCAATAGGAGAGTTCTTGTAAAGTGCTGAGGCTTCAGCAGTGGCCAAGCTTAATGCACTTGTTAAGGGTGGAGCAGCAACATAGTTACTTAAAATTACACAGAACATAGCTTGTCTGCTTTTTTGTGCAGGCAGACAAGCCTGGTAACTAAATTATGTGCTTTTTAATTCCATCTTGGCCTCCTGATGATGATGAAGTCATGTGAACAAAGCTGGAATGGTTTATATAGTTAGCTTGACATAGATGGAATTATAGTCCCATAATGAAACATTTTCCTGTTAGATAAAAAAAAAAAACAAACTTCACTGATTTGCAGGTGATAGCTCCTTGCTCTCCTCCCCTGCCTGCCCTTACTTTCTACAATTGCTTTTCCCAAAATTGCAGTTAGAGGTGCACTGATACATTGGTCCAATATCGGATTGGCACCGATACAAAGGAAATTTTCTGTATTGGAAATTGGCCTGATGCGGCCAATAACTTGTCCAGTAAATGTCCGTGTGTGCACAGCTGCAGCGTAGCACGTGTGCAATGAGGAGCAGAGCCAGCAGTGTGGAGTGCTGTGTGCAACTGGTAAGTCCTGTGGAAGGGGAAGAGAAGGGGGAAGTGGCATGGGGTGAGGGGGCAGATCAAGGCCCCTGCAGTGAGGGAGGGTGTGGGTTTGGGGCTGGAGCAGGGCTGCCCAGTAGGGCTGGGGTGGGTGCAGGAAGTGTGGCAGGTGGGGGTGGCTCCCACCTCTGTGTGTGGCTTGTCTGGTGCTTGTCTGGCAGCTCTTGCTGTTTGTCCAGGAGGGCATGGAGAGGGAGAGGAGGGGCGTGTGCCCCTGGATCTGTGTGGGGCGGGCTGGGGCTGGACGTATCCAGGGGCACATGCCTCCTCCCCCCCATGCCCTCCTGGATGAGCAGTGAAAGCCGCCAGATGAGCAGTGGATAAGCTGCACGCAGCAGCAAGAGCTTCGCCCCAGACAAGCTGTGTCTCTGTCCCGCACCTGCCCCAGCCCCAGCCTGCAGCTGAAGCCTGCCCTGCACAGAACTGGGGCAGGGGGCAAATGCCCCCACCCTCCAGATGAGCCTCTTGCAGCTCTGTCCCACACCTCTCCCCGCCCCAGCTGGTCAGCCCCAGCCCCAGCCCCATTCCCTCCCTCACTACAGGGGCCTTGATCTGCACACCCCCCCCTTCCCCCTCTCCTTCCCCTTCCACCACACCAGACTTACCAGCTGGACACAGGTCTTTCAGCTGAAGAGCTGCTTATCAGAAACTGGATTGGTATCAGCCAATATGCCTCCCCAAAAATATCTGTTGGTGCACCCCTAATTGCATTGGGGTATCACTCTTGCATCCTTTCCTGAATGTTTCAAGGTGATGACACTGACAAAGATTGACTGGCTGGTCTAATTAATGGACAAAAATGCAAAAGGCCTTATTCTTATGGGAACAGCAGCTACTGTTGTTTGTGAGGGTTTGTTTTCTGGGCTTTGTAGAGAAACACTTGTTGATATCTTTCTGGAACATTCATCTTTCAGGCTGAAAACTTAATCTTGACCTCTGCTAGAATGTGGCTTTTTTGGAAATTTTTGAGTCAAACTTTCTCCATTATATAAAATCTACACAGCTACAAGGTTTGCTTGCTTTTAACCTCTCTATTGCTGAAAGGGCAAAGGGAGAAAGATTTCATCTGACATGAAGGTAAGAATCCTTACCGAGGGATAGTGCCACTGGAGTGTTCCAGTGCAAATGTGTTGCACTTTCTTTTGAATGAATTTTGAGGTCTTGAAATCCTTTGTGCACGTGCAGTACAATGAAGACAATAATTTAGCTTGTTGAAAGTAAACTGGCAGCATGTCTTCATAACTTTTAGCTACATAGTGTAAAATTGAGTGGAGGTACACAGTGAATGAAAAGTCTATCCAAAGTCCTTGCCTTATCCACTGTATTTTATAAACCTTTCTAGCTCCTTTTGTAAGGTGTGTTCTAGTGATGCCTACCCAGATAGTCATGCAGTATGGAATTTTATCTTCCCGAAAGCCTAAAACTACTTTTAACACAGTTTGTAGTTGTCAACTGTGTTTTAATGTGCATTCATGAGACGGAAGAATTATGAGGATGTGCAACTTTTGATGTTGCCTTTTTCCTGATTTACAATCCAATTTTTAATCTCTTAATGTAACTTTTACATTTAACGTATGGGTAAAGAAATACAACTGAAACATCAGGGCCAGGTGCAGATCTTTAGCTTCTGAAGTGTGAGCTGTCTGTGTGTTGGCAGAGTTCATCTTTGTTATATGATTGCCATCCAAGGTAGGATCAGAATGCAGGTTTAGTGTTTGTAGTTATGCAAATAGAGTTCTTACTACAGTTTTCAGTGTTATCTTCTAATCTAAAACATTAGTGATTTCAGAAACTTTAAATACTGAAAAAATTATGAAAGCTGAAGAGGCAGCTGACAGTGAAAAGGGAGACTTGTTAAACTCAGTGTTAAAATAGTACATGTCCAAAGTTTGCCTTCTACAGACTGTTTTGGGGTGGGTACAAGTGGGAGTTAGTGTTTCTTATGAACTTAAATCTATCCGTGGTACCCTGCTCTGGTTCCTACAAGAGCAAGTTATTGTGGGCTGCCAGTTATCCAAGGAGAATTGCTGCTAGCAAATCTTATTTTCAAATCTTCTTTCAAATAAGTCTCCAAATCTTACTTTAGTTGACAGGCTGCTTTTTTATCCAAAGCAGGTGCAGGATTTGGGAACTGAAAACTGCAACTTCTCTATAGTAACTTAATGGATTGGAAATGAGGACTGAATGTATACAACTAAAAAAGAAAACATTATTGGATTTGATAAGAACCCTCCCCTGCCACTTCCTGCAGCTTGTTAGCTTGACCAATGAAAGTTTGCTTCCTAAAAGAGATTCTTGCAGGGAATACACCTGAAAGAGAATTTAAAAACATTAAAATGTCGTAGGAGCATAGAAAAGTAGAGCTGGAAGGGATCATGTGATATTTATCTCGTTCCAGCCTCCTGCTCAAGGCTGGATCATTCCTGACTACAAAGAATGAAAAATATCAATTTACATACAATTTAACATTTTTTATTTGAGTATGGAAAAAATGAACTCTACATTGCCAACCCATAGAGTGGCCCCATAGAGCATAACTGGACTTTGGCACTAGGCAAAATGAGGCATAGCTTAATCTTTCACTTGATAGCGTTCTTAGAAAAATGAACAATATTTCAAATCTAAGTATTCGAAACTGAGTATAGGAATATTCTCACTTCAGATTTATATTCCTTACATTTTAATTAAAAAAAAATAGTAATAATATACCAAGTACTGTAATGACACTGGGTGTCCACACTTTATGGTAGTTGAAGAACTGTATGATATCTGTTGAGGTGCACACTGTGTGAACTTTATAACCCTTGATATTTGAAAATTACGCAAGCTGAAGGAAACATGAGAGAGTTTCATAGTTAGTAGGGTCGGAAGGGACCCGAGCAGATCATCAAGTCTGACCCCCTGCCATGGCAGGAAAGAGTACT